TGGTTTTTTCTGCAGGCTGGGGGGAGGGGGCTGAGGAGGAGGAAGGGAAATGACATCAGAAATCGTCGGGCGTGCACGGTGGGGTGACCCGGTTCCGCTAGCACCCCCCCCCGCCGCCACAGGGGGAGGGAGGAAAAAAGAAGCTGTCACCGAGGGATTTCATCAGCTTCTTCTGCCTCCGTGCATTTAACCTATTTTTCTTTCCTTTGGTTATGTAAGAGGAACGGTGTAGAGAGGAGCGATGAGTAGGGATGGCAGAGGGGCTTTCTGGGGAATTATCGAGTTTTTTATGTTTGGCTGCTCCGCAGAGTTAGCTCTGGGAAATGCGGGAGAGCGAGGTTTCAGGTTTTTGCTTGTATTTACATTTCTTGCACTACTCCAAATATTACAGCACAATGCAGGAGAGAGAGGCAGGGAGTGGAAACAGAGTGAAACTGGCCAATTTCACCTTGGGTGAAAAGCAAGGGAGAGTTCTAAGTAAAGAGTAAAAATCGTCTTCTCTTGATCTTCTCATGTAGGGAAGTACATATGTATTTATTTATGTTTTCCTGATACTCATTTTCTAACCTGTTTACATTATACTGAATAGTTGAGTTCGAAACTTCTTGTGAGGTGATCTTAATTTTTAATCTTGCAAGTAGGAAAATGCAGATTGAGGAGCTCTGCTTTCTGAAAATTAAGTTCTCTTGGCTACAGGAATGTTCTCTTTAAAACTGAAAACCACAAGACACTATTTAAATGTGCCGTTATTTTTTCAAGGACTGAGAATGTAGTGTTGGAAATACTTATTTGAGTTAGGGTTTAGGGAAGGAAAATATGCTGGTGGCAAGTGAAGTGATTTATTTTTCCTATAAGAGTTGCATAGAAATGGAGATGTTAATAACTCTTTCACTTTAGTTTCTGTAGCTCTAAAAACTGGCCTTTCTGGTGTAAACTATTTTGGTTACTGGTATAAGTATTTTTAAGCATCAGCAAAATAAAACCAGTAAGTTGGATTTGTTTTGCTGTTTGTTTTCTAGTGTGGGAAGTTTTAGTTTCACTCTTGGATGGAAAATAGGAAATTAGAGCTACTTACAGGGGATGAAAAAAAAAGTTTGTCAACAGTGTGTTTGGAGCACATGTAGCTGATGAGACTGTGGGGAAAACAAGGGTGGAGATGGGGTTAAAGAATAATGTCTACTAGAAGTAACCAGCAGCAGTCTGCAGAACGGTGTTTCACAGCAGAATCCTGGTCTGTAGATAAGCATGTGCCTTTACCATCCATCTTGTCAACTGGTAGGGAGAAGAGTGTTTCCCAAAGCGGCTGTTCTTGTATCTCTTCTGCATTGCAACGTCCGTTTGTCTGGTAAACTCATGAGGCTCAAATTTGATGCTTGTAATTCACTTAAAAGTTGCTCAGACATGGATGACCTGATGAATTGCTCAGTTCATGTGGTAAGTGAAGGTTGGCCTAGTCTGATAAAGGGAGACTATTATTAGTGAGACAGTCTTGCTAGAGCAAAGTGATAGAATTACATTTCGGGAAATCAGTCTGGCTATTCTGGCAGAAGCTGGTCTAGCACTTTAGGTTGAGAAACTGTAGGTGTCGAGATGAAAACTAAAATATGGAAAAAAAGGAGTATAGCACATATTCAGGGAAATAATAAAAGCAGTTGTCTTGAACAAATAGGTCATGTGAGAAGTTTATTAATGATGATTTTAAGCCCTGTTTTTCATATACTTCACTACATATGAAGGCAGTTCACTCTTTAAAAGTTGGATAAGTTGAATTTCTTTGATTCCATAGCTTAAATAAATGCGTGTCGCCCCCTGCCCCCCCCTTCTTTTTTAACAGACTTTTCTCCAGTATGGAAAGTAATTCCAGAGAGAAAGATGGACTCGATTAGATTCAGACTGACTATAAAGAATTCCAATTTCCTATTCATGTTTGAGCCAAAAAATAAGAGACAGACATGCTGGTTTACAAAACTGATATGATGTGTTTTTATGTTGTCATTTGTCCAGTAGTTGAAGTATTTGTCTTGGGAGAAAGAAACAAAGTAGTCTGTCTTCCTTCTTGACTTAAACAAAAGTAGGAACAGAACACACACAGGGAACTGTTTAAATGTGTTCCTGTTTAATCTGTTCATATTTAAACTTTATTCTTTTGTGAGAGCAAACTGTGAATCAGGCTACAGTTGTAACAGCCAGTAAAAAGTCATGGTTTATACTGGTCTGGTTAAGGTGCTCTCCATGTTCTTAGAAGCAGATTAAGAAGTGTCTCTCTGTTCAGTCGGATTCACTTTGGGGGGTGTTTCTTTGTGTCAGTCTTGACCATGGCTGTGCAGCTGGCATAAACCACATCATTATACCGAATAATATACTTGCTAAGTAAGTCTGAGTGTGCAAGAACACCATGAGCTGAAGTTGTCCTCGTTATTTGTGATTAATTGGTATTTAAAATATCTACAGTAACTTGAAATATTCTGACAGCTTTTTTCATTTAACTACAGAGCTTTTTTTTAAAGCCATGCTGTGTTATTGAACTCTAGCAGAAAGCTGCATGTTCAGATGTGGTGAAAATATTGTTTGGTTTTCGCTGATGTTTCATGAAAGAAGTGCCTTCTATACTTGAAAATATAAAATCAGAGCAAAATAGCAAAAATAATGTATTCATAGCAGATTTTTCTTAAGGATCCATTGTGCCATTGTTTTATAAACGTGCAAGTAACTGAATTTCAAGTTAAGTTGGTAGATACATTACTTATTAGAGAAACTTTTGATATAAAGACATTCACATGTAAATGAGTTTTGAGAAAGAAGCAGACAGTGTATCTGTTGCTCAGGTGAAATGTACGGGCCTCGTGCTTGTAGGCCCAATAAAGGATGGAAGTACAATAATTTGCACTAGAAAGTTGGTGAGTTTATGTTTCTTTTTTTTTTTTTTCCAACAGAGAATATGAAACAGGAGCCAAAATGACATCCCGATTTGGAAAGACCTACAGCCGGAAAGGGGGAAATGGCAGTTCCAAGTTTGACGAAGTGTTTTCCAACAAACGGACCACGCTAAGTACAAAATGGGGAGAAACCACCTTCATGGCCAAATTAGGACAGAAGAGGCCCAGTGTCAAACCAGATGTTTCTGAAGTTCCTAAAAAACCCAAAGTTGAAGATGAGGTAACGGAAGATCCATTTGGGTTTGACAGTGATGAAGAATCTCTTCCTGTGTCTTCGAAGAATGTGTCACAGGCTAAAAGCTCCTCTCAGCTGGAACCTGGTGAAGCTGCTCAGCCTGAGGACTTCACTCATCAGCTTGAAGCTAACAGCAGAATTAATCAGCCAGACAGTGGAGAAAATGTTGCATCCAGCAAGAGCATGTCTTTTGACAATGCTGTTCCTCTCTTAAAAGAAAGGAGCACAAGCAAGAACGTGGAAGATGGAGAATGCAAAGGCAGCAGTGCTAAACTCGTAACTGCAGGTACGTTTACTCTACTGTCCAGATAGTTCTGTTATCCTTTGATTTTGACTAATCTACATTTAGACTTTATGTTTTCGGGATTGGTTAAATGTTCTAATAAAATCATGGGGCAATTAATTCTTAATTATAAGAAATTGTAAAGGATATACTATTTAAAAACACCAGGAAGCATTCTGCATTTTACACAGTGGTCTGCGGTCCTTGGTACTCTAATCCTTATGTCAGCAAATTGAGATACAGTGCTTTAGATTCAATATAGTGTGTTAGTCCACCTTGAATAGAATGGCATAATTTCTGAAATTTGTTCTGAGCTCGGTGCATTTGTGGTTTTTAACATGTAGTATTTTGAAGAGTGATGAGTTAGTAATAATAGGATGTTTTATTCTTAAGTTGCTTGCTGTAATTTAGTGCAGGTACACAGTTACTACCATGCAGGTGCAGATAGAGCTTACAACCTGCCTTATTTAATTATTTGGATGGAAGAAGTAGTTTTCTGAACTTAATTTGCACCGAAGTGTATATATTTTTTCATTAACATGTGTTTATCAATGTTTATATAGAAAAACTTTAGACCTATGGAACGGAGTTCTGTTAAACTTCTTTTAGGGGCTGCTTGCAGCCTCCAAAGTGTTTGTAAAATGTCTTAATACTTTTGAGAGGGAATTCACAAACCCCATGGGGCTGAACATCGCTATAATTTTGTTCAAGTCATTCTTTGACAAGTTCAGATGTTATTATATCTCATTAGAAGTTTTCATATAATGGGCTGATTAAAATGCACCTTTTAAAATCGGGCAGAAGATCGCATAAGGTGAACCTTGATGAAGATGACACCTACTGACTTGCTCTGGGTTTTCATGATCAACTTTAAAGAACTTACATAACTTTGCATTCTCAGATGTAGTCAACTCTAGGATCAGAGATTTGAGTAGACTTTTTCAGTTGTATTACAGTTGTAATACTTCCACTGGGTAGTAGAAGATATGTGTAGCTCAGTTATCTGCAAGATAATTTTATTACAAGAAAAAACAAGAAATGTTGATTCGAGCTGTAGTTTGACAGACACATTGGTGTGACATCTAGTTGTCTTTTGATCTTACTGTTTTGCTGCTGAGATATTTCTCATTTTCATATGGTTTTCTGCAGTTTGTTTATCTGTAAATATGATCTACCTTCAGTCTGTAAACAAAATTTCAGTTTTTGCCGAGTTTTGAGTATACTTTTCATAAGAGATTGAATAGATTCATCCCCCAGTACTTAAAAGGAGAAGAAATAGTAATGAGTTTCCTTGGTTGTTAATGAGAGATTGTAGCAGAACAGGTTTAACAGTGAAATGGTTTCCACATAGGAGAGCTTTGTTAGAACAATATTTTTCAGGTTTGAAAAGAAAATGTGAGAGTTGTGGGGAGAAAATGGGATAGAGCTCTGAAAATTCATAGTGTGTGACAGCCCAAGAGGAACAGACTTCAGCAGTTTTATTGGTGCCTCCTGGTTTCAGTATTGTGGAAAATAATAAAACACAATCTTTTGCACAGAAAAACTTTTAACTTGATGAATATTTAAATTCTAGATCTCACTGTCAGATGATACTGTATATACCATAAATATATACAGCTCTAAAAAAAGGAAGCTGTTTGGTTTTGATGGGAGAGTCCATCAGTGGCTGTTGAGTGTGCTGGAGGGAGAGGTTACTTAAACAGTTTACTGAAAGAATTCTCTTATTGCATGCTTCCCTGAAGTATTTGTTACTGACTGCAATTCAGCCAGTAGTAGTGAAGGACAAAGTGGATCTTGACCTGCTTATACTTTTCCTTCAGAATCGATTACATTCTGTTTACACCTAGTCAAATGAAGATAAAACCCCGTGTCATAACTTTCTTAAGAAATTAAATTAAACTGAGAACGAATCTTTGCAAAACATCCTAGGAGGGGCTTTAAATAAGAGTTAGGAAACCAAGACTGTAGTTTTGGTGACAGTGTTTGTTTTGGAAAGTTAGTGTAAATGCAGTTTGGATGGATTGAGCAGCCATTATGTTTGTGTGTAGACTGATCCAAAATAAATAAAAATTGTCTCTGAGTACGTCACTAAGAACATTGAGCAATTAGAGATATTGGTATAGTTAGCCAGGGTGAATGTAGGTACTTCAAAGGCTTCTTTGTTATATTGACTATTAAGTAAAGTTTGATAGTATGAGACTATGTTTCCGAACTGGGGAAAGTTAATTTTATTGATTTGAGGATGGGGGTATGACAGAAGAGGGAACTTAAGGGAGAAAAACTGAGTAACAATAAGAAGGTTATTTCATGTTGTGTGATTTCCTAAGGTATGGTGTATGTGCTTCTACTGCTTACCTGTCCTCACCCTCCCTATAATTATTTCCCCCTTCCTGGTGATGCTTGAACCACCAGGTTCAACTAGATTTGTTCAAAGGGCTTACATGTCTTTGAGACAGCAAGCTCTACTATTGCTGAAGAGGAAAGAAAGGAAAGGGAGGAAAAAAAAAAAAAAAACAGGCAGGCAGGTAGGTAGAACAAGATTACTATTCCCAGTGTGAGAGACACTGCAATGTGAGCTCAACCTTAACCCACATAAAATGGTGTATCTCTAGGTATAGGAAACTAGGTTATATTGGTACTGATATTCATGAAAGTGCTTGTTAACTTGTTTCAAGTGCAATTTGCTGGTCCTTGGCCTGATACTTACTAGACAGTGCATCAGTTAAGGCCTCAAGACTTCCTGATAGCGTGTTCATCACTGTATCTTAGTTATTCACATAGAATAAGGTGAAAACTGTGACTTAATGTGGCTATGGGCAAGCTGAGAGCTACAGTCTAGCCTTGCTAATTCTGCTCTGAATGTGTTATCCTGCCTCAATGTCCATTTCTTTCGGCATTAAAATGAAGGTGATGCAATGTCAGTTAATTTTAACTAATGTTTGGTATTAAAAAGCAGTCCATTTCGGTGGTTGTTGTAATAGTTGTGCAACCATGTAACACAGTTGAGGATCTGTATCTTTTATTTAAAATGGTATGACTTACTGGTCTTTTTTTTAGTAGCCTTCATCTAGTGCTTGTACAATCTCATTTTAAAGGCTTTGAGAAGCTCTTAATGTGGAAAGCTTACCATAATCTTATCCTAATGTTGTTTGAGCAAGACTTAATACTGTAGGAAGAATGTACGTAAATAATCCTGTACGTAACAGGTAATGTACAGATAGTAGGAGTTCAAGTAAATTAGAAATAGCAAGAGAGTATTCGGTATTAATAGCTACTGTTCGGTAACTTTTGTTAAGGTAGGAGGACTTGGTAGCTTTAAAGTCAGTTGTGTCATTGGAAAAATATAATTCTTATCAAGCAAAAATACAACAACTTAGTAGTTAGAAGCTGAGCTTTTTTGTGAGAGAGGTGAAAACCTGCAGAGCAGTACTTACTTGTATTTCTGAAACAGCTTGGTGGGTTTTTGTTTATTTGTTTTTTCAACTGTTAAGCTTATTCTGTAAGGCATAAACCCAAACAGTACTTTACACTAAACTCTCTCCACACAAGCTTTAATATAAAAACACTTATAGCCTTGCAGATCAAATTATGAGGAAGTAATTTTTAAAAATTTTCTAATGAGTTTGTTCTTAGACTGTTCATGTTAGCTTGTTTGTTGAAACTAACATAGTGTGGTTTTTTTTTCAGATTAAAGTTAAAGTCAAAGCTTGATAAATTTTAGAAGATAGTCTGGCATTTCAGAATTTTATTAGTGTATGAATACATTTCAAACTAGATAACAATTTTACCTGCTCTGTCTGTTTCAGTTTAGGGAAATACTACTTCTTGCATTCTTGTGTGTGAGTTTATGTTTTGATGCTGGGTGTTGTGATCACCTGCTGTCCTTTGCTTGTGTGCCACAGTGCTGAGCAGTACAACTCAAACCTTTGGAGGGTCTATCCAAGATGTTGATGCTGCTCATTAGAGAAGACACGTGGGTCAAGAGATGTTTCAAGTGGTTGGATGATGCCGTCTTTGCACACTCATATTCCTGTTTGTGGACTATGAAATATTATTTATTTATGTGAATTATAAATTAAAATAGTAGATATTTAATGACGTTTCTAACCAAGAAGTATTTTAATTGGGCATGGATTAAATCTGATTTGCTTTAAAGCCTATGAGTTTATTTCTTGAAAAAGTGTTTTGCTTGCTGTGGAGAAGTAGAAAACAGCATGGCCTACAATGTCTTCAGAATACAGAGCGGTGTAGGAATAGTATCCATTTCTGCTGTGTTGTGATGCTGAGTACAGATTTTGTGGTTATTGTCTCAGCAGTGCCTTTTGAGGCTTTTTAAGATTAGAAGGACAAATTATTGCATGTAAAGTATTTGTGATACTTGTGTATTTTTTTCCCAACATTTAGAGTAATTATGAAAATAGCTACTCTGCATCTTGTCATTTGTTACTATGTACTGATATTCAAACAAGTTGTCGTTCTGGAAGTAGTTTTGCTCTTGGTGCTGTAAGGAAACATTTGCCTCTTGTCTGCTCTTCAGTTCTTGTGTGTTTCTAGGTAGTTCTTAATGCCCTGGTGTTTCACTTGGGGCTCGTGCACATCTCTGGTAGCAAATCAAAATGGCAAGTGCAGTCCTGCTTAGTAACTTGTGTTTGTGCAATGCAAGAGTGGAGGGATACAGCTGTGCTTGACCACTTCATGACCCAATCTGCACAATTTAGTTTAGTTACTCAAAAAGCATACTGAGTGAATAATTTGCAGAAAATGGTTGCCCTAAAAAGAAGATAGGTCAAGTCATCAGGTCTGTTCCCGACTGACTATTCTGATCGTACATTGGTGAATGTGTCTGCAAAGCCTCTGCATCCTGATTATGTGGGTGGGGGAGCCCTATCTTTAGAGTTAAGTTTCAGCCTCCCAAATTCAAGGTTGTTACATAATGACATTTGACAGTGAGGTTTGCCAGGGTCTTCCTTTCAAGTTGTTTGAAAGCTTCTATTTTGTCTTTA